GTTGATGATGGATGTCATGCTGTCGTTGATGATGATGATGATGCACCAGTGCCTTCATAACACAGATGGAAGCAGTGGGTTACAGCACTAGACAAGGAAGTGATGTGTAAGTGGTTACTCGGTAGGGTGCCAGAATGACTATATCGGCAAATTAAGTCAGTCGGACTCAGGCGACCAACTTATACAACTGTGCGAACACAAATTTTTGGGACAAGCATGAGCATCACGTTACCTCTCAAGCGGAACAATCCAGGCATTTAGATTGAACGAATGATCAGTAGCCACAGATGGTGATGGTATCAACATCACGTTCAGCTGTAAAAATTGCGTACGTGCCATGCTTATGGCTGCCAGAGCTTCTCCCACTGGTGATCTAGGAAAATAGAGGTGGATAACTACATATTGGAGGGGATAAATCGCATAATTGATACCTGTATACGGGGGTGCCAGTGGACGAGGGAAAGATAGTATGAAAGGTACCAGAAAGGTACCATGAAAGGAACCAGAAGAACTAGACCCTAAGCTGGACCCAAACACATGTAGGTTTCCCCACCGACCCAACACTTGTTCAACCACTCTAACACACTAAAATCCCTCGGCCGACACCCAACAGAGATTTAGCTTCACTTAGCTGATTGGTTCTCCTTCCGCCTCGACCAACCTAGTCGCTTGGCCTTACGAAGCTTTTGTGTCAAAAGCGAAACGTTGCCCAGCAATAAATCTACCGATTGTCACCAAACGTTTTCGAAAATGAAAGGTAACATGTTTGAAGCAGACGCGCGATTATTAAGGTTATTATTAAATTAATAACCACGTGACGTAGCCATTGCGGGAAAGTTTTTTTGTTCAAAACCATTTGGCGTACCTCAACATTGAAAATCCGATGTTCCCGGTCGACCCGACCACTGCTCCGTAAACGTCGATAATCATACATTAGCCGCTTTTGTAGGGTCATGTTTCTGGTCCATAAAGCAGTATGGGTCGCACTGTCGTGGCGTATACTCTGCCCTTGAGAGACAAACTGACGCCGCGTCGGAACCACTGGCGTTGAAGGTTGGCGAAAGCTACCCCGGCCTTCCCGATTCGAGAAGCGATCCCATCTCTAGCCAGTCTACCAGAACTAACACATTTTTCCAGGTAAACAAATTTAGCTATCACGCCGGTTGACTCGTCTGAAAGCATGATGTTCGGGTTTGGTCCCACCAAGTCTTTTAGCACTACTTTACTCTTTGCAGGCGTCAAGCACATACCAGCAGAATTACTTCGGTTATTTCAAATGATCTGCACGTTTGATGGAGTTGAACTGACAGCAATAGGCTCCGCATACTCAATGTCCGTGAGCAATCGATCTCCAAGATTTCAGAAGCAGGTAGGGTTATTTCGAGCAGCATGTCTTTAACGAAGTTGACGAGGAATGCTGGTAGGGAGGCAGATTTGTCTTAGACCACTGAAATTGATGAACTCAAACGATAGCTTGCCGTATACTCGTATCCGCCCAAAGAAGTTAGCATACAGCGTCCTAATAAGGGAAAATCTAGTCAGCAGGCACTGCCAGAAATACTATCAACGTGGGAGATCTGAAAGAGTAGCGGTTTTCAAGAGCTTGGCTCAATGTGAAGATATGGTCAACGCATCCTCGGTCATGGCGAAACCCAGTCTAATTCTAACGAGTTTGTCTCACGGCAATCGATCTCCTCCGCGCAAAGTAATGCCAAACAGCAGCTTAGATACAACGGCTACCAGACTGATGCAAAGATGGTTGCGCACGACGGTCTCGTGTTTCTTTTGAAGACCGGAATCACCACTGAGGTGTTCCATGAAACGGTATTTCTTTTTCGTACAAAACGTTCCGCAGTATGGTCGCCGAACTGTTCACCAAAGTTTCATCGACCTTGATGAAAAGTGCGGGGTAGTCCGATTCGACTCCTCCCTCTTTTGCAACTCATTTGTGACGGTTGAGTATTTTTAGGCTGAAAACCGTGTACCAAAGTACACCGGTTAGCTGGTACAACGTGGTTTACGCCGGCATACAAAACGGGAGCAACCGCGGTCGAATAAGCCACACAAACCTCGCCAAATCGGTGGGAGGTTCTCGCTTTAGCTATGAAAACGAGCTTCTTGGGGGTCGTCTCGGTAGACGGTGTTTTGAAACGCGTAGCACATGACCGAGCCATTGTAGTCGATGATGCTGGATGTTATCCCGGATTGTGGTGCCTGCAGCACAACCAAATACCCGTTTTCTAGTCGCCTCGTTGCTGATACGCTGACGCCATCCACAACCAGCCACGCTTCTGAGGCATAGATGGTCGAAAACCTGAAGACGCCTCACATCATCTACCCGAAGAGGCCATGTCTCGCACCCATACAACAACACAGCCCTTACTGTAGCCTGGTACACACGACCCCTAAGATCCAGTGAGATGCCTTTTTGACGCCACAAGTGACGCAAATTAGCAAACGTGATTCGAGCCTTTGAGATTCTTGCACCGACTTCATCAGACACACTTCCGTCAGATCTAATACAACTACCGAGTTATGTAAAGTTTTCCACAATCCCCAGTGGTTCCCCTTGAATTGTAAGGGATATATTCCTAGATGGCACGTTCTGAAGTGAAACTTTGCACTTTGAAGGTGCAAGTCGCATGCCAAATGATGGTATGATGGCGGTCAGTTTATTCAACAGGGCTTGTGCTTCGCTAAGGTCTTCAAAGATGAGGGCGATGTCATCTGCGTACTCCAGGTCGACAAGGCTCTCGCCAGCAACAATTTGAATACCGGGGTTTTGAAAACCGTCCAGTGTTCACCTCATTATTGTTATATATTTGCTCTGTTTTTCAAACGTTTTATCATTTATTGCTAAATCACTTTCTTCCGTTTTCAGCTCTCAGTGTCAAAGTTTTGGATGAATAAAGCCTAGCTTTCGGGCCCTCCGTCTTTTCCATTGCCATTCTGATTGTCGTTGCACTCTGACCCTCGTCGTACACAACA